TGCTCAGCTGCAGGCTCCCTTCCTCCTGTCATCCAAAAGTGGGAGATGCTAAGATCATAATGAACCCAGACCAGTTAGAGAAGGGGGCTTTCCTGACCTGTCTGCCTGCTCCCCTCCATAGAACTTATTTTCACAAATTTATAGAACTGATCAACTGTTAAAATGTCAGGTGACCTCCTCATGATCATCCCACAGCTTCACATAACAAGATTGAAAAGATAATCTGTTTTTTAATAATGTCCTCCATAATATTTACGTTTACTTTCCTCTCAGACTGGTGCCAGATTTTTCCCAATATAAATTACATTAACTTTAAAATTCAAATATTGAAGTGATTCTTTCAAAAAAGATTGAAACAATAATTTTCAACTCTTTCTCTTGTTCCCCCTTAGTTTTTGTATTAAATAATTTTCCAGATTGGACTTCAGTATATGAATAATTATGGTTCTCTCAAAAGCAGATTTTTTGAAAATAAATTCATTCCACACAGAAAAATCATGCCCAGCTCTACCTGGAATTTTCTTGCCCGTAATGCACACTATCCCTCTAGCAGTGACAAGGTTAATTAATATTCCTTTCTACCCCCATCCACTCCTCACCTCCCAAGTGACCCCTGTCAAAACACATGCTGTAGGTGTAAAGAAAATGCTAAAGCCCCATAACACTGCATGGTGCAGGAGAATCTTCCTTTGGGGCAGAAATGACTAAGCTCCTTTTAAAAAGAGATTAAAAATCATTATTTCAAAATTATTTAGAGTAACATTTGCTTCAAAAGAACACAATGGTGGCTTTGCTAGCTCAAGAACTGGTCTGAGGTATGTTTACAGAATGTAAACTCTGAGCCCTGTAAACTTGATGCAACAACACAGTTATGGAAGCACAGTTTGGGGGCAGATCAGGACCCATCTCATGTTTCTCAAAGGTATTGCCTTTTCCAAGCTATGGGGGAGGCCCTGTGATGGCAACACGAGTTCACTTCCCCAGTGGAACCCCTTGGATGCCCCCGTTCTGTGGTCATTTCTCCATCCCTCTGATTTCTGCATCTGCCCCAGCAGGTGCTGCCCTCCCCAGCCAGTCTTCCCACCATGGACAGAAAACTGGGCAGCACAGCACACAAACGTGATGGAGGGAGAGCCAGAGGCAAGCCATGGTTTCACACAATACAGTCTGAATTGCTCGATCTCTGGAACAGCCCAAGGTGGCCAACACAAAGTAGATGGCATTGTGGGCATGAAGGAGGTAATGTGCAATTTACTGCATCAGTAAAGACGATTTTCTCTAACTGACCTTTTTTAGGTTATCCAAAAGGAGTTAAAAGTAGAAGGATCATGTGCATATGTTTAGATAACGTACTTTAAGGCCATTATGCAGACACACTTGTATTTAAATACATCCTCTCCCACAGTAAACATCTGTTTTCATAATAAGGCCAGGAAGAACACTTACATCATCCAGCCTGACTTCCTTTATAACACAAGCCTTTTTCAGTCAGACATTCCCGTGACTAAATAAGATTGTGTTTAATTAAAATACATCTAAGAATCTGTCTGTTCTTGATTTGAAGTCTTAGAGGCATGCAGGATCTACCATCTCCTGGTAGCTTGCCCTGATTTGTGCTAAAATATTAATTGTCTTGCCTACACAAAAGAGTTTTGAAAAACACCATTGCTCACCTCAGGGACTGCCAACAAACTTGCATGTCCTGCCACAGCAAGAGAGAGAGCAGCACACTGAGCCAGGGTGCTCACATTGTTTAGTGCCCAGAGCAGGTCTCTGGAAAGATTGCCTGACAGCGGATGGTGTTGCCCAAGTCACGCATCCCAGCAGTCATACAGGTGGACTATCCCCAGTGGGGCAGCAGGTGACAGGGAATCAGTTAGCAGAGTTTCTAAACTATTCTTCACCTCCATGGTAGTGCCACAACCTCTCTACATCTCAGCAAAGCTGTTGCATTTTTCACCTGGGAGGTCAGTCACTATTTCTGAAGTGCACCAACACACATGGCTCTGCATGCGTGCTAAAAGTGTCACTGAAAGGTCCGTTCCAGCCCCTTATCTTGGACTCAGCTAGTGAAGAAGGGAGGCTGTCGCTGGAGGAAGTTCTCTGGATGGAAGAGCTTTTGTCTAATCTGCTGCCAAAGTTACCTGGAGCTGCTTGGCTACAGAGCACACAGCATAAAGCTGGAGAGATGAAACACAGCTGGTCCACTGTGGATATGCACCCTGTCACACTGATCTCAGATGGCAAACAATGCTTTGGCATTGAAGATCTAGCAATCTGTCCTTCTGTCATACCTCATTAGTGATGAAACTTCAGCAAGGCCACAGAGGAGCCGTATTTCTCAACATGAAAGGTATTGTTGGCTGCAGAATGGTTATGGGAGGTAAAACCAGCTCCGGATCAAAACCACAAAATAGGAAAGCAGGTGTGCACAGTGAGCACAGCTCCTTTAGCAATGTCTCTGTCACAGGGATGGAGACCACTGAAATTCTGCACCAGATGGTTCCATCAGCCAGGCTCCCTGAGACTTACATGATGAGCCATGAGTGTCTGCTTAACACACAGGCCAAAGAATCATGCATGTCCTCCCTGTTTAGGAATGCAGAGATTGTCCTACTCCTCCAAGGTCAGTGTAAGCATCAGACACTGGAAGGTGATGGCCATTTTTATGATGGAAGTCCTTGGTCTAGCAGGACTGGTAGCTGAGGACCAGCCTGAACACTAACCCACATCTGCTGATCCCACCACCAGCACCACCATAAAAGTTTCCTTCAACACACACACTTCTCATTTCCAGTCACTCTTCCCAAAATACCCATTTACTGTGAGAGAGCCCAGTGGTGTCTCTGGTGAATACACACTTGCACTTGTGGCCACAACAGTAACAGGATTTTGTATGAGACTGAACCATGTGATGGTCCCAAAATACCAGATCAGCAGGGTTCAACCACACCAACAGATGGCTGTAAATGCTCATGCAGATCATCTGTGTCCTCCAAGTGTTCCCCAGAGCCAGGGAAACTCCAGACTGGGAGGAAGATGCTTTATTTTATATTTGCTCAAGGGCCTTGTCCCCACAGGTATCAGACACCTGATGTAAGTACACAGGCTTCCACTTTGCTCTCTCCAGACTTGATGCTCAAATTTCTTTGTGCTCTCAGCTCATTGAAGGGCTGACACATGGGAAGCACAGGATATTAAACCAATTTTACAGGTAGCCTGTGCAGCTGCTCCAGGAAAGTCTTGGTCCACTACAATTAGGGTAAATACTTTCTATATTTTTTTATCCTAACATGTTAAAATACTCCTGCTCCAGCCTGAGAAGAGTCTGCAAGAGTAGGTGGGAGAATCCAGTAGCTGACACAGCTACTTTTGGTGTGTAAGCTGAACAAAAGGGGAAGAAATTATCTAAATAATGAGAAAAAGTGCACTAGCTCAGTAGAGCTCATCCTAACTAAGTGTAATTAGCAGGAGAAAGAAGAAAAAATAGCTCACCAATATCATCTCACAATGTCTTTCAAGTGTTTGGGAATGTTTACATCTGCAGAAGAGTTTTGACCAATATAAAAATGCCAAATATAATCTTCAGTATCCTTACCTACTTGTACCAGCAACATGAGCCACATGCTGCTTGGGACTCTCATAAATTTATATTATTAACCCACTTAAATCTATGCATAGAAAGTGATATCCATCATATCTAAAAAACTGGTTATTCTGGGCTACTTGGCAGTTCAGGGAGTGATAGGTTTTTAACCTTAAAGACATATTTTGTAGAAAATATTTGATGTACTTATTCTCCTAGTAATATCTTAAATAATTCAACTGCAATAAATTTTTTTCAATGGATGTTCACACTTAATATTTTCTTCATTTCACATGTAAATCTTTGTTTAAATAAAGTAGAACTATTCCTATTTGAATTTTTTAACCATTATGAAAATTCTTCTTTTCACATTAGGTTCAGCAGATTATTCTTTTCTTTAGAGCTGGGGAAGGTTTTTAGACAAATTATGTCATTGGCCAAAAATGTGGTTGCAGAGAATTTGGGGGAAAATTGTTTGGAAATTCAGTTAGATCTTGATAATTACTTTGACAAAAAACAGTAACACTTAGGAAATGCTGAAAGCCCAGATTAGACAATGCCCAGAAAATGCAGCTTTCATTTGCAGAACATTTTAGTTTAGGAATTTCAAAAAAAATTAATCAAAGTGCTTCATTTGACCTTAAGCCAAAATTGTTCCTTTTTGCAACTTACGTTAGATTGCTCAAAAAACTGACAATTTTCACCTTCTATGATCAATTTAGGATGATGATTTTTCTTTTGTTCCATTTTCTGAGCTAAAAAGAAAGTCAGTTGCATACAAAAGATTTCTCACTCATAATTTTCTGAACAAAAAGAAATTCTGTGTCTGGAAGGTATTGTTGGCATTGCAGTGGGATGGTATGCCTGAATACCAAAGGCATTTCTAAGCATCTGAGTGTGTACATACCAGTACTGCTCTTCCTTACACTTAAAACAGATTCCTAATATCTGCCAAATCAGGGCATTTGATTCAATGGAGAAAGTGTCACTCCAAAAAGTTTTGATCAGTGCTTCTCTTAGTGACAAATGCGCTGTTCATGAACTGAGAAGTATTGAACTAAATGCAACTCTCAGAGCACCCCTCTTAAGCACCCATGCATCTACAGAGTGGTTGCAGTAGAGTTTTCCAGTCAAGCCTGTGAAGAGAAACACCTGGTGCTGTTCCCAGCTGAAGTACTCATCAATAATTTCTTGGGAAATATCTTACTACTTCTTCATTTAAAAAAAGACTAAACAGAAAGCACGAGGCCACACAAAATTGACTTCTCCGTGTCAGTCTAACAACCCTCCCCCTTCCATAATGCAAGTGAGCCTGTTAATGGCAAGCAGCAACCATGCACAGCAGTGAAGAGATTTCATCCAGATCATTGGGAAAGTACACAGTCCTAGCAGAGCCCAGGAGGTCTGGCATTAGTGACAGTGAGTACCACAGATACCTCTTCCTGTATTTGAGTGTCCGTTCGTTTGGATGTGGATTGTGTCTGTGTTCTGGATGGGAATTGTGTGCTGGTATGGCAACACCAGGAGCAAGGTGTTTCTTGACTGCTGGAGCTCCTCAGGCCTGGTAGCCAAAAGCTGATGCTCTCTCTCTGAGCAGTTCCTGGCACAAGTGACAACTCCAGCTCCCTGCAAATGAAGAAATCCTTCTTATAGGGATGACATAAAATCCAGGCACTCAGAGATCATGTCAAGATCAAGATTGGCTTGAATAGTATATCAGATATTCCTAATATTGGAATTGCCTGTAGTTTTGTGAAGCAGCCTCTGCTGCCCTTGCTTTTGTGTCCATAGGCTTTCTACGTGAGCTACAATGCTGCTGGGGTGTGCATTACAATGAGGTGTTATATATTTTCACACTTTCAATAACCACTTCCCAATGGAACAGAAACCTTTAGCTAATTATTAGCTGCATTTCCAAATTTTCCCCTCCTGATTTAGCTTCCTTTTTACCAAAGTTACAAACATTAGCTCCTGAATGCATGATTGATCTGTAATTATTCTTGTCCTGCCCCTCATGTAAACCGCAGTCACTCACACTCACAAGTCTCCTCCAATTCCACTGCTCTCTGAGGATTTTAGTCAGAGAACCTCTGATGGTAAGACTGGTTCCTCTGCTCCACAGCCAAGTGACAAGCTCCAACCAGTCATAGTATAGTCAGACTGAACCCCTTGCAGAGGTCGTAACTACATACCAAATGTAATAAAGACCACAAAGCCCTAACCCTGCCAAGACAGAAACATATCATAGAGCAAGGAAGGTCATTCCCTTTAACCCAGTCTCCTGACAACATGCTCTCAGATGTTCCAGAGAGGACCTCCCTGTCTGAGGCTTTCTCCCCGGGACTTTGACTTCTTAGGAAGTCCAAAGTCACATTTCACAGGCGCTCAGTTCAGTTGACTAAATTGAGGTGACCAATGACATGTGGGACATCCAAAAGTACCCATGACCTACAGAACAGCTATGTTCTGTAAGAGGCGGAGACCAGGCAAGACTGAAGAGGGTACCACAGATCACACTAGCGCTTCACATCTATTAATTTTGTTTCTTTCCAGTGCTACCTCCCTTTGCTTTGCTACTGTTTCCTTAACCCTGCATGGTTCGAAACACCTTTCTGAAATTTTTCCCTTCTCCCCAAAGACTTTATTGTGATTTTCAAAGCAGATTTCAGTCATATGTTACCTTCTGGGGGCTCAAAGACTGGTGGATTCAAGCAATACATGTGATAGCCACGGTCACAGTCATCACAGAAGAGCAGCTGGTCCTGAGGCAGGTTTGTTGGAGAAACAGTAGGGAAACAGGGAGAGAAGGAGAGGAGAAGAGAGAAAATGATGTAAATTAGTCTCTTGCCAAGATGAAAACATAAGTAGGGTAACCAGCAATGCTCAGCTGGGAATGCAGAGCTGCAACAACAGAGACTAAGAGACTACTGCGAATGTAAAAGTTAGAAGCATCCCATTTGTTCATCCATGATTAGCCACCATATTCCTGAGAGGCTGCAGAAAGCCTCTCTCAGCATAAAGACAGTTCAGTTTCTAGCTAGAAAATCACAATGAGAAGTGGAGGGATTCCTGTCCTAGATGGCCTCATGATGCAGGAATAAAAGCTGTTATGCTGAGGATATGCTGTACTGAGAGGACAGGTTTTCCGGGGCTCCTGTGTCACCATGTGCTGATCTAATTCCTTCAGAGGAAACCTTTGACTTAGACAGTTTTTCTAAGACTTAGCTGAGTACTTTTTTTTGTGAAACAGATGGAAATTACATGACCCCACCATGTGGTCTGCAGCTCTTTCATATATTTGGGGTGAAAAAAGCTGCTCTGAAGTATCCTGTGATTCCTAGGGCAGAACAGCTCCCCGGGTACAGATTTTTTTATGCTAAAGCAGAAACAAAATCTCAGGCTTCAAATTTATTCTGCTCTAGGGAATACAGTGTTAGCTAATCACCTCCAAAGTTCTCCAGCCACTGTCAATTTTCCAAGGTTCTCACAGGCCACCAAGGACCCTTAGCATCAGATTTTAAATGCAAACTCCCACAGGGATGACATTGCTCAGCTGCAGGCTCTGGAAATCACTGGAGCTGGTGAGGCCTAGCCATCTCGCTTCAGACATTTCCATGTTTCCCAAGTCTTGTAATTAAGTTTAAAAAATCATACCAAGAAAGTAAAGAAAATCAGGGACAGAAGGAGCATACTTTCTTCTCTTGGGTTATCATGTATTCACATCTACTTCTGAGTATCATACTGAAAGTTCCCTGCAACAGGAATTCATGGCCCCCAGCTAATTTCTATTGCATAAGTACACAAACCACAAGTATCAGCATCTTAAGTGGCTCTACATGATACCCATGGTAATTTCAGCAGAGACCAGTGGCTGAATGGGGACACTGGGGAGAAGCCCACCTCTGCTCCCAGGGGTGGCTCTTCCTTGGAGATGCATGGAAGCAGCAGTAAAACAACAACCCACACCAGTGCCGCATGCTTCTCAAGGGTGGGCATGGCAGCAGTGACGCTTATTCACATGAAAAGGAAAATGGACTCACATCGTTCTCTGAGGTCCCACAAAGGCTGCAGGATTTGCACTCAATGCATTGCCACTGATAGGTTTTAACAGCCTCAGTCATGTTTGTGGTGAATTGCAGGCAGGTCGGGTGTCCTGAGGAAGATCGGAAACAACGGTCATTGTTAAGGCTCACTTATTGCTTGTTAATTAACCGGTATTAAATTTGGGAACAAAACACACATGGACATGGACTGATCACAACATGGGCTGCAACTAACAGATACCAAAGAGGAAAGCAGGCATTAACCCTTTCGCTGCCGGGCACAAGAGAAAATCAGAGTCATCTCCACCCATTCCCCATTGGCAAAGCAGTTTTATTCAGAGCTCTTAAAAATGGTTTGGCTTTGAGTTGGTTTTTGTGGGGGTTTCTTTTTTTTTTTAAAGAAAACAAGAAAAAGGATGAAATCAGAAACAAACCCAATTTCAAAGAGAGACCATCCGTCTTAATAGAAATTGGACTACAGTTTCAATTAGCGTTGTTTCGACCGGAACGAAGGACCTGGTGGAAATTAGGTTATTCTCCATTTCACAGCTTCCCTTCCTGGTGTCCAAATGGGTGGAGCAATTCTGTAAACTTTGCTTAAATGGAAGCAGTAGCGTACAGAGAAGACGCAAGACGGGATGGAAGGATATAGCTTTTAATTTTTTTAAGAGCTCTGCCACTAAAGTTGGTTGGCACAGAAGAAACCAAATTGCACAGCTAATCTTCCAGGATCAAAACAGGAAACCGAAAGGAAAAAAAAACCCAAGCCAACTCCCACAATGAACTAAATGAAAGGAATAAAGAAGGGAAAGCTAGCAGAACAGTCACATCTAATTGGGAAGGACAAATTGCCAGAGTTACAACCCCCGCCCCTACATGCGTGTCGACTTCAGCTTTGCAAAACAGCGGTATCACAGTAGCAGGGTCAGCAATAGGCTTTCTGGAGGGGAAAATACAAACAAACAAACAAACCAAAGGTAGGATCAGTGTTCCTTCTGCAAAACAAAACAAGACAAATACACCGCTGAAATTAAGTACTGTACTTCCAAACCACCCTTACCTGGCTGAGACATTGCCTAAGTCACCTGCAATAAGCTCCTGCCTGCCTTCTTGGAAAGCCCCATATTTAAAATCCTTCTCTGACATACTTTAACTCTGTGCATAATCAGAGCAGGGAGAATCAACTGCTCATCCGTAGAAAGACTAGGAACACAGGTATGCACATCAAGCACTGCCACCTGCCTCTTCTAGAAACTGGCACCGTAAGTTGCGTGGGGTTTTTCGCCTCTACCCGATCTGCTGTTCCTAGACTACAACCAATGGATTGAAAAACATCTTTTCCACTTCCACCAGCCTAAGTGCCTTTTTAAGAGTGGAGAAAGAAAGGCTGTTTCTCCAATAAGAAAAAAAGGCATGTCTATGGTAGGTGTGGGCACAGATGTGTCATCTTCACTACCAGACCTATCAGTAATATTTTGCTGTCTCATCACAGCGCCCATCACCACCCTATGAAAAATTTCTTTATTTTCCAGCTAGTGAAGCAAACAGTTGCTGAGAATTGCTGGATAAGGAAGTAATGCTGTAGGGAATATACTTCTTTTATGTGTCAATGATACCACCAAATGATGTAATAAGAATTTTTGTTCTCCAGTTGTATTTGCATGGCTGTAATACAACAACTAAGCCTGTCCAGCAAAGAAGTGTGTATGCATAATTATTCAATAAATTGAAGAGAAAATAAAGGATATATTTAGAGAAGGAGGAATCAGTGAAATTGCTCATATCACTCTTAAGCCTTTGAATAAAGAAATCTTTTGACAATACTGATGAGCTCAGATGGGCTAAGAAGATCACAGGGTTTTGGAGCCCTTGAAATGCCAGCACAAAACAAATGGCAGTTTTTACTGAGATTTACAGTGGACCAACTGAAGTTCTGGGAACCTTGAAACTGCAACTAAGCAAAAGGAGATGTGAAAAGATACCTTTCCTTGCTGAGAGGATCACATGCTTTCTGATACTACTGAACTAGCAAAACCTGACATGACACAGAAATGTTCCTCCACATATGATTTACATTGAATGCAAACCTTATTCCAAGACCAGTAAATAGAACAAATGTGCCATGCTACACATCAGGGAGGAATTCATCCCAACAGCAGAGAGCTGCTTCCAGAAATGTTGTGCAGTGCTGGAATATATCACAGAAAACAACTCATATAGGGAGGTGAATTAATCAGAGAGTTAAATAGCTTCGGTCACATTTGAAAAGAAAGAGAAACAATGGAATCAAACTTACAGAAATAAATCCCAGCTAAATGCATGAACATCTTCACATGCTCACTTGCCTGTGTACACACATTGCTCATTGCAGAGACTCCAGCTGAAGATCCTCCCTTTCTAACACAACATGAGGGTCAGATCCTGTTCACTACTTCATCTCTTTCTCTTCATAGCCATTCCTGCTCTCTTCCAGTTATCAGTCTTGACTGTTTTGTTCCTCATTTGCCTCAAAAACCCCTCTGCAGGTCTCCTGTGTGGCATCTCACATCAGTGGTGCCTCATCCTTGAAGTGATACATCCTATCTCTATTGCAGAGCACTTCTTAAGAACCACACCTACCACAAGCCTAAAAGAAATGGTCTCTTGTGGGCTGAGGGTTCCTTAGAAAAATCAGGAATAGAGCAAGGGCCACAGTAGTTTCTTTTTAGTAGCAATGCAGAAATATTTTGCAAGAACATACCAATTCATTCACTCACTTAGGCTCTCTCCAAATACTGTGACTACACGAGTGGAGCATGCATAGCTGCAGGTTGCTCTCTGTTAGCCCAGGGCCTATAGTATGTGTAATGCAAAAAGAATGTCTTTCTTCAGCCTTTGAGTCAGATACTCTTTCACATTAAGCAGCATTCCTTGTGGTACCATGACCCCAGCTTAATGTCATTGGAAAGAGTGTTTTTACTTATACTATCAGCATGGTGAGGCACTGTAGTATATGGCAAGCATGCCACTAGATACTCAAAATATTAAAATTATTTTTTCCTTTTCTCCTGGTTTCTCCTTCTTCACAGTTCTTTCTCTTTCTTTTATTTTCCTGCTACTTTTGTTCAAAACCTAGTGTTTTACATGCTATGAGAACATTCACACATCCAAGACTTTCTGAGGCAGTGTTACTGAATACCATCACTGCTCCATATCACAGAACTTCTTAGCATTCCTTCTGTGTCAGAATACCTGAACACAAAGTCCTGTAGCTGCATGTGGCAAGCTACTACAGGTAGATTCAAATTCATTTTTTTCTTTTTCTGAAAAAGAAAAAGGCTAGTTCAGGCCACAATTTTCTTTTGTACACAGAGCAGTCCAAAATGTGATTCAAGTTACAGACACTGCGGTAGTATACAAGCCAGAGAGCTGAAAGGCTTCTTGCTATGTGTTTAAGATGGAGAAAGAGGTTTATTTCACCTAATTGTGTGATGAACAGCATTTGCTGAGACTAAGGTGTGCAGCAGACTCTGCAGCTCAACCTCAGTTAATAATTCAGGCGGTGGCTCCACCCTGGGAAGCCCTGGATCACTCTCACAAGTCTGTATCAGCTGTGCAGATCTAATAGGGGGAGGAAGTAACACATATTTATGGTGTCACCAAAGTCAATAGACAGACCTCTAAAATACACCCTGGGAGCAGTTCTGTTGAAGGAGAAGGCAATATGTTAACATTGACAGTTTCTAATCTACCATAACTATTCTCTCCCTAAACTTTTGCTATGCTGCAATAGCCATAAACAACAGACAGGGACAATAAAATTTGCAGTGAAGTTTTCAACAGCTCATCCCTTTGTCTTAAAACAATATTTTAAAGTGTAGATCAGGTTTGAAAGCTCCCTCATCTTTGTCAAAACTCTCCTCTGGATCTGAACTTTGAGACTGAGACCATATTTTATAGTGACATCAGTGTTTCACATGCCACTGTCTTTAATTGTACATTATGTCCACCAGATATCTGGTCAGAGGAGCGGGGAGGCGAGCACATTCAGAAACCATTTCTTGCATCCAGTACCTGATACAATTGCAGGCTGATGGGAAAGATAATACATAAATACCCTAAAAATGTCTAAAAATCTCTTCTGCTTGCACTGGCTGTATAACACTAAAGACCAAAACTGACATTAAAGGGCAGGAGCAATCTGCTGCTTCCAGACGCTCTGTGACCAGTGAAGGCCTTAGAACGGCTCATTAGTGCTTTTTCAATAATGGATTCTGCATTGAAAGATTAATTGCAGCCATGTGCTCTGTCACACACGCCACAGACTATTTAAGTTAACAATCCAATCAATAACCTTTTTTAAACAAAGGCAGAGATTATCTTGAGGGGCAAAAAAATAAGCAAATACTCTTTTTTTTAAAAAAAACTAATGTGAAATTATTTATATAGCATAAAAGGAATTTTTACCCAGTTTCCAATTCTTTACATTATCTTCACAGTATTGTGGTGGGCCTTTTAATCAATAGCATGATGAAAACTCACAGGCCTCCTGGCAATATTGCATCAGATTTATTCCATAAACTTTCAGGTCTTTAAACAACCATAAATACATATTACAGATATAATGGCCTATGTCACAGGGGCCCCATCCAAATAATGGAAGTTTACATGCAAAGAAAATGCATAATTTCCTCCTGCTAAGATTGAATAAGGTTTGGGTTTTTTTTGTGGCCACTGCCATCATTAGACAGAATTATTACCATTACCTGTACAAAAGAAGAGAAGCTTGTAATTCTAATAGGTGATACGATTTTATGATTTAAAAAGGTACCCCTCATTTGTCTAAGAAGGAATGCTTCTGCATATGCAGAGTCAACAACAGTCAGATTAGAAAAAGCCCTTTAAAACTCAGACTATCCAAGCACACTGAAAGGCTTGGCTCTGCCAGAATCCCAGGGCTCAAGAAGCTGCAACTCTCAGAAAAAGACCAAACATTCCTAAGGGATGAGGTTGTGGAGCTCTCATCATTTTCCTGGCCCTTCCTATCTTGCAATGTGAAGGTGTTACAGTGTAGAGACACGTCTCTAATACGTCACATATGTGACAGAATATGTCACATCGTGAACAGAAG